CCCCCGCCTCGCCTCGCTGCCGCGCCGTCTCCCCCGACCCCATCTCTCTCTGCCCTCTTTAAGCCCTTCCACACCCCTCTTCTCTGCTATTTAGTGCTAATTAGTATGAAATAGTATGAACCCTAGGCTATTTTTTAGTGTAACAAAAAACAGAATTGATTATATAGGTTTCTTGCATTTTTTAGTTAAAGCAATTGTTGTTATTTAAATTTTATAGTTCTAGTTAGTTAATTAGAATTAGTATGAAACCTAGGACAGATTAGTTAAAACAATTGTTGCTATTTAGAGATTTTTCTGGAAAATATAACTGGAACAAAAAGTTATCGGAGAGGAGTCCCGTGGGGCCCACGAGGGTGGAGGGCGCCCCCCCTAGGGCGTGCCCCTGTGCCTCGTGGACACCCCGTGGGTCCTCCTAACTTGTTCTCGATGCCAAACCCTCCTATAAATACAGAAACCCCCGAAGCATAACCTAGATCGGAAGTTCCGCCGCCGCAAGCCTCTGTAGCCACCAAAAACCTCTCGGGAGCCCGTTCTGGCACCCTGCCGGAGGGGGAATCCATCACCAGTGGCCATCTCCATCATCCCGGCGTTCTCCATGACGAAGAGGGAGTAGTTAACCCTCGGGGCTGAGGGTATGTACCAGTAGCTATGTGTTTGATCTCTCTCTCTCTCTCTCTCTCTCTCTCTCTCTCTCTCTCTCTCTCTCTCTCGTTCTTGATATGGCACGATCTTGATGTCTCGCGAGCTTTGCTATTATAGTTGGATCTTATGATGTTTCTCCCCCTCTATCTCTTGTAATGGATTGAGTTTTTCCTTTGAAGTTATCTTATCGGATTGAGTCTTTAAGGATTTGAGAACACTTGATGTATGTCTTGCGTGGGATACCCGTGGTGATAATGGGGTATTCTATTGATTCACTTGATGTATGTTTTGGTGATCAACATGCGGGTTCCGTGACCTTGGGAATCTATGCATAGGGGTTGGCACATGTTTTCGTCTTGACTCTCCGGTAGAAACTTTGGGGCACTCTTTGAAGTTCTTTGTGTTGGTTTGAATAGATGAATCTGAGATTATGTGATGCATATCGCATAATCATACCCGCGGATACTTGTGGTGACATTGGAGTATCTAGGTGACATTAGAGTTTTGGTTGATGTGTGTCTTAAGGTGTTATTTTACTACGAACTCTAGGGTTGTTTGTGACACTTATAGGAATAGCCCAATGGATTGATCGAATATAATAACTTTGAGGTGGTTTCGTACCCTACAATAATCTCTTCGTTTGTTCTCTGCTATTAGTGACTTTGGAGTGCTCTTTGTTGCATGCTGAGGGATTGTTATATGATCTAATTATGTTATCCTTGTTGAGAGAACTTGCACTAGTGAAAGTATGAACCCTAGGCCTTGTTTCGAAGCATTGCAATACCGTTTGTGCTCACTTCTATCGCTTGCTACCTTGCTGTTTTTATATTTTCATATTACAAAAACCTATATCTACCATCCGTATTGCACTTGTATCACCATCTCTTCGCCGAACTAGTGCACCTATACAATTTACCATTGTATTGGGTGTGTTGGGGACACAAGAGACTCTTTGTTATTTGGTTGCAGGGTTGTTTGAGAGGGACCATCTTCAACCTACGCCTCCCACGGATTGATAAACCTTACGTCATCCACTTGAGGGAAATTTGCTACTGTCCTACGAACCTCTGCACTTGGAGTCCCAACAACGTCTACAAGAAGAAGGTTGCGTAGTAGACATCACTGGCTGGACCTCCGGCTGTCGGACGTCCGGTAACTACCGGTCGTCCGATGGTTGTAGCTTTCTGGCAGCTCTTCCACTTGGTTCTTGTACTTGGTGTCGTCGTCGTCTTGTCCGTTTGACGTAGCATCTTCACGTCCCTCATCCAAGTACCTGAGCATGCACAAGGTCCCTGGTTGAGTTAGTAGCCATGTCTCACATGCGGAAGTGTAAGTTCAGAGAGGAGCGAGTTCACATAGGTTTCGATAGCGCGGGCACGAGCGCTTGTCATAGGACCACTTGGTGCTTGGGGAGACATAGGCAGGTTCATGGGGATGAACGTAGGATGCTCCGCATCAAAAGGGTTTAGCCTGTAGGGGGGACTCAATCACAACTACATACACCTAGCATTAGGGTTAGATCTCTACTTACGATCTCGAGGTAGATCAAGCATGTATTCGATACATCATCATCAACACAATCAAAGCAGGAAATAGGGTATTACCTCTTCGAGAGGGGCCGAACCTGGGAAAATATTGTCTCCTTCATCCCATGTTACCACCGATCCGAGATCCACAGCTCGGGACCCCCTACCCTGAAGTCTATCGGTTTTACCGCCGACATTGGGTCAGATTGCTTCTCATGTTAGGGAGTTTAGCGGTGTTGTGTGTTTGTTCGGGCCGAGCAACCCTTCTCTCTCTTGTCTCTCTGCTCTGGGCACCGCGTTCACTCCATCTTGCGATCGTGCATGTGTTGTACCATCACTTTGTACTCATTCTCTATTCTTCTATCAATGGAAAGATACTGAAGCTTTGCGTATTTGCGGAAAAAAATGTATTTTTCTCGGCCTTACTTTTTTTTTTGAATTTCTCAGCCGGGCTTGGAGTTGGGTGTCGGTCTGATTGACAAATAGAAATAGTGGCGTTTTGTGAAGAGAAGATGGTAAGATTGTTAATATGAATGAGCCTAATAATTAGCAGCTCTGTTTTGTTGTATAGAAACCTTGGAAGGTAGTGAGGCCACCGTACTTCTTCAGTGTGTACACCTTATTACACACAGACAATAGCTTATGACCAGTTCAATATATCTCGCGCTTTAAGTAATGTCCTCTTTTCTTGAAGGCAAAGGATGACCCCATTTTGACCGCTTTATTCTACCTTGGGTAATGTCCATGAGATAATAACAGGTTAACAGGTGGGAGATTAAAAGGAAGAGTTAGCTGCCAGGCTACTTGTGCCACTATATGTTCACAGGAAGCTGTCATACAAAGTAACAAAACCATATAAGTGCATACAGAGTACTAAAGGGAATCAGATTCTAGAGGTCTGAATCAGATTGACCAATAACAAGCAACAGCCAGCGTCATGAAAAAGATAGGAGTTCAAACAAAGTAGAACCAATGGTCAGTGACCGAAAACAAGTACTTCCATTGACCAGTAACAAAGCAACGTAGTGCTAAAAGAGGGACAGTGTCCTCATTCAAGAGAGAGCGTAGTCATACAGCGTGCTAACAGCTAATTCTACAAGTCTGAAACAGATTGAGTGCTAACCGAAGCAATGGTCAGTGACCAGCTGAAATATGACAGCGTGCTAACAGCTAATTCTACAAGTCTTGAACAGACTGAGTGCTAACCGAAGCAATGGTCAGTGACCAAAAATAAGCACATACTACATCCAAACAGACGATATCCCCTGCATCAGGACAAGAAAAGCTAATCTGATCGCTCTGTAATCGAGTGCTAACAACTATTTCTTCGTCAACTCAGAACATGTCCAGGCCTCCATGCCAATCGCTTCTCACTTGTTGTCTCTGCAATTTCGACCACATGCCCAGGTCTCATGTCCTCGACAATCGCTTCTCACTTAGTGTTCTCTCTGCAATTTCAACCAAAATAAAAAAACAAGTGTCAGGACCACCAAACCTGGGACATGTTGAAAGCACGACTTTTTCCATGTTCTCTAAAGTAGATAGAATTACCTTTCGTTACCGTGAGTCTCTAAGCACGCGTGTAGTTCTCCCAAGCATATTGTAACCTGCATAACAAATCAGTTATGATGGAACATCAATTTTGAATGGAGTAAACAAAATCAAACTTTAGACTTACATCCCCTGCATATCCAACTCCATAACAAGATCTTCAATAAGCATAGATATGAAAGTTGAAAATCTGTATGAAGCAATATACTCCAGTTCCTCAAGGTTAGAGATGTTTTGTTTTTTATCACCCTGATTGGCCTGTCAAGCACAACATATATCGTTATTTCAGACGACAACTAAAATACAAGCATGTGGATTACTCGAATTATGAGAAAACTTACATCCCCGCCGTGCTGCTGGAAGTTCCGTAAGAACCTAAAAAGGCCACTCGGATTGGGAGCATAACTGGGCAAAGTGTTATTGGGGTCGTTGTACTTGAATAGCAACACCTTGTTAAACTTCATCTTAGCCACAAGGTCATCGACTGTCTTTTTCTCTATTTGACCCATTGATTTATAGGCTTGGAAGACTGCACTTATGAGGATCGTGACTGCTCTTGGTGACTTGACAGCCGGATGGTTGTGCAGGAATTTAAGGAACTTTTCCTTCTTTGCCTTTGAAGGACATGAACCAACTGTAGGGGAGACCATCAAGTTGTATAGCTCCCGGATATAACTAATTGGATCTCCTTGGGAATCTTTGAATTCATCTACCAGCAATAGCCTAGCCAACGTGGCCAGATCTAATAGCAGATTGGCAAAACTTCCATCGCACATGGGTTCACGCTTAATGCGGCAGCGGTGTCCACTCATCCTTAGATCCTCCATAGTGAATTGCCCGCCCCAACTTTGGTGCCGGTTATGAGCATCAGTTATCACCTTAATAAACCCTGACCACAGATTTCTACCATACTTGGTGCAGACGACCGCTGAACCACCACCCTCAATTGGGCGCGTACCAACAACTCCATACTTGTTCATATACTGTCTCACTGATCTCTCTCCGGGTATCTTTAGATCATACACACACAAAATCCAAGTTATTTTGCAGCATACAACTTATGAATGTGCTTCGAACCAATAATTGTGGAGCATATATTAGTTTAAGCATGATAGGATTGGTTTCTGCTATCTATTAACTCAAGCAACAGAATTAATAGTTTAATACTACTAGAAATTGGAGTATTACTGTAAGCAGTAGATAGAGCAACACACACAAACAAAACAGTGATGTTAATGACTATAAACAGAACTGTGAGTGGCCACACACACACAGTACACACAAAGGAATTCTGCAACTTGTATACATAAGGATTGCTAAATTAGTTCTTACTCTCCTAGATAGTACGTATAAACTAGTCCATGATCATCAAGTGCGGGGTTCTATAGTATTTCTATATAGGCTATATATCACCATTCGCTGAAATAAATTTAGGAAGATGAGGATACATACTAGGTTCAGCATCCATTGAGGCCAAATGTACAGCATAAGAACCCAGCAAACATCTCGTACCCAATCCGCAGAGCAATACAGAATACCGATTGTCCATGGGGCTGCTAGAATTGCCATGCGCAGACCATCATGTACCCGGTTTGTTGATATCCACTCAGCGCACAGCAAAATCCACATTAACCAAGTAAGAATACGTAACTTCAACCTCCAAATAGCTCCTTCCTTGAAAGCCTGTGCAACTTTCTTCCTGGCCTCTCTCTCAGCCCGCTTTCTTTCTTGACATGACGCCATATTTGATCCTTAGTTGCTTGATAACTGGAAGAAAATATTTAATTATGTCAGACTAATCAATTAGTAAGCGCAAATGCATAATGCCGAATAATACACATATCCGAGGGAGTATTACAACTTGTCAAATAAGCAAATTACTCCAATCACAGCCAGTTCACCAAAAACAGTGTATGAAATAGTATTAGAGTTTGTTGGGCCGTATATGTGCGAGTAAGTCTGGCCCACGGGTCCATGTAAACCAGTATATGTATTGTACAGACTAGAGAGGAATAGAGTTATCCAGAAACTTCCCAAACCCACCACACTTCAGAGTTTAACAGCAGGGTGCAGAGCTGGGTGACTAGATAATTAAAATACCATGCAAGAGCAGAAAAAAGTAGGTTACTGAAGAGCAAAACCATCATCCTCACAGAAAACTAGATTCCTGAAAGGATTCTAAGCAAAGCAAACAAAAGTACTATGTTCAAGACAAAACAATGCAAATCTGTACTAGCTGCAACCTTATCCCTAGACTAACATGTAGCAATTTTAAGAGGCAAACTGAGCGCCCCAACAGCGACATGATTCTAACAAAAGGAGGCCAAAAGAGGCAACATATCTCTCAGTTTGTAGAAAAAAAGAACATGGGTAAACATTTAAGCCAATCAAACAACAGTGATCATGCATATCGGTATCACTGCTAGGTGGTGAATATATCAGTTTTGTAGGAATTTTGGGGCTTGCTAAACCATTTGGAATCAGAACGATGGACGAGTATAATGAATATGAGCGTGCAACTAATAAATTTATAACATGACATACGTTCATGACATACGTTAAAATTCCATAACTATTTAAAAATTTGTGTGTGAAGGACATTGGTTTATGCCTAACATTGTCAACACATTGATAGTATAACAGAACAGAGGCATCATCTTACCCTAAGCATATACACATCGATGCCCGACTAAAGAAATACACAAAAATAACAAATTAAGCAACTCCACATCGGCATATCTACACATAATGTATCGCCATTTAGAATGCTGAACCCTTTAGTTTAAGAAAAAATTATGATCATTGGTCAACTCAATTGCAAACAACCAAACATTTTACTTCTCTTCGGGGTGTATTTGGTTCTTAATATCATTTGAACAGAACTTTCACTACTGCCAAATTATATTTCTACTACCGAGCAAAGGAATACACTAAACACTCCTAAAAGGTGAAATCTAGTACGACAGCATACAGAAGTTCAGTGCTACCAAATAAAATACAGAAGTTCCGGGGATTTCTACTACCATTGTTTTCTTGATTCTAAGCATTTGACAAATATTGAATTCATCATATCAGTGTTTTAGCCATTAACAAGTGTGATGCATCATGGACCATTACAAGTATAATCTGAATTCAAGCAGTTTAGATAGATGTTCACAGCATGATATCCACTGTTCATGGCCAAAATATGCTAGTAACTGACACTGTTAAACAATAGAACCTTGAGCAATCAAACTAGTGACCAAACCAGAGCTAAACGAAATAGTGAAAAGCTAGGGTTTATGAGGCCCGTCTGTCGAGCCCGAGACGTCGGCGGGTACGGAGGCGGGCCGCAGTTGCGAGGCGGACCAGGCGCGGTCGTACTTGTGCAACGGCCACCGCTCAGCGCGGCGTCGAGGCGGGGAAGAGCGGAGGAGGCGCAGAGGGAGGGACCGGAGGAGGAGACCGTACCGGTGTGGTGGTGGCTGCTACAGCCGCGGCGTCGTCGCGGGGAGGAGCCGCCGCAGGCCGAGGGAGGGACTCGGAGTCGGAGGAGATTCCGGTGGCGCTACTCGCGACGGCCGCGGTGGTCGCCGCAGGGAGGCGCCGCCGCGGGCTTCAGGAGGAGAGCGGGGGGAGG